TCCACTGTTGTGGAATACAAAACTTTGGCTCTAGTGAATCAAGATTAAGACTTCATTGAAAGATGAGTTGGTTGATGAGAAGCTTGACATGAGCAGGCAGCATGCGCTTGCAGCCCAGAAAGCCAACTGTATCCTGGGCTGCATCAGAAGAAGCATGACTGCCAGGTCAAAGGAGGTGATCCTGCCCCTTTACTCTGCTCTCGTGAGACCTCACTTGGAGTATTGTGTACAGTTCTGGTGTCCTCAACAGAAAAAGGACATGGAGCTGCTGGAGCAAGTCCAGAGGAGGCCATAAGGATGATAAGAGGGCTGGAGCACCTCCCGTATGAAGACAGGCTGAGAAAGTTGGGGCTGTTCAGCCTGGAGAAGAGAAGACTGCGTGGAGACCTTAGAGGAGCCTTCCAATATCTGAAGGGGGCCTACAAGGATGCTGGGGAGGGACTCTTCATTAGGGACTGTAGTGGTAGGACAAGGGGTAAATGGCTTTAAACTGAAACAGGGGAAGTTTAGATTAGATATAAGGAAGAATTTCTTCACAGTGAGGGTGGTGAGGCACTGGAATAGGTTGCCCCAGGACATTGTGAATGCTCCAACCCTGGTGGTGTTCAAGGCCAGGCTGGACAGAGCCTTGGGCGACATAGTTTAGTGTGTGGTGTCCCTGCTCATGGCAGGGGGGTTGGAACTAGATGATCTTAAGGTCCTTTCCAACCCTAACTATGCTATGATTCTATGAAATGTAGTGAAATCTCCTAGCAGTACAGAATGTTTTTCACTTGGGAGGCATTTGCAGTTACCTGCAAAACAGTTTAGCAGTTGAGCACCATTTTCCAACAAAACCAGTTTAGCTGGGACTTGTGGAAGGTGGTTTCATAAGCATGGTATGGAGATAGATGTAATTTCTGTAATAAACCCCTATATTCATAAAGCTACCTAGAATAAGAATCTATACCAAAACCATGTCATATAAACACTGCTCAGGAAAGAGTCCGTCCAGGAAATGATGATGTACCTTAAAGTAGCAATATGAGCAGAAAAGCAGGTGTTCCTTGGGCTGCATTAAAAATGGACTGCAAACACCCTTCAAGCAGTGAATATTTCAGTTCTTGGGAAATATTAGATATTGTGAAGGCAGTGGAGAGAAAGTGATGTCCTTTGTTCTTCTTGGTATCTGTATTTCCCTCCATAGGCAGGAAACATCCAAAGGTGCGTGTTAAATAGTAGACACCACTGTTGATTTGTGTACGTTTTGGTTTTAGTAACTATATTCCAACCCTGCATCTTGGGTTGGTTTTTATTGTTAGATGCTTGGAGCAACACTCCCCCAACCCCCCACTTAGTTAGCCATTGAATTTAACAGCTCTTGGCTTGACTTAAACAGGGTCAGAATTTTTCCGACGTTTTTTATGGGTACCCTTCAAAGTGTGGTATTTCTGAGGTTAGTTTTTGTTCCTGCAAAAAAGTAAACTGCCCATGCTACTCCTTGGCATTAGTTAACCAATGAAACAAAGCAAAAACCCAGCTAGCAACCCAAGAACTTCTGAAACCAATTTTATTCATGTTTCCCAAACACATATATCTTCCAAATAGCCAGCAGTGGCAAAGACACCAGCTGTGGACAGGAGCAGGGATGTTTATCCAAACTGCCAAATCAATGCTGTTTTCTTTTCCACTGTGTAAACTTTGTCAACAAAACTGGTTCTGTGAGAGCCATTGAAAATATTTCACCATATTCCAAATGCGACTGCCACAAATGAACTGCTAAAACTGCAACAAGCACGTTTGAACTGGCAAATAGAATTGGCACGGTTCTTTGTCAGACTGCATGCAATTGTGCTGTGTGGTTGTGGGATATCAGCTCATCCAGAAACACCCTTTTGTTACCATGTCTTATTAACATTTAGAAAGCTCCATTAATTAAAGTTGTGGCGCTCGGCAACAAAATGAGTGGAATTTACCATTAAAGTGGATGATAAGACTGTAGCTGCTGTGCCTGGGTGAAACTAGGGAATTCCGGACATTGGTTAATTTGAGGTGAGTTATTTGCTGTGTTGTGTAGGCACAAGAGTTGGAAATGATGATAAAGAATGTGAATCTTACTGCACAGCTTCATTTTGGAGTGCATGTTAAATTTGTAAGCTTTTCACTGGCATGGTAGCTGTGACTGTGGGATGAAGGGGAGGAAGGGAAAATAGAGCTGTGTGCCCTTTGCCCTTTGCAAGTGTTCTGTGAGACTCATCTTGGCATGAGATAGAAACAGCCACAGCCCCCTACACAGCTTCATCTTGCACCAGTGTTCACAGTTAACAATTATGCAGACATTGGTTCTGATTGTGTACATACATCAACAGCACCACCCACAACCCCCCGCCCCCAGATATAAGGAGATTGTGCATCTCTAGCTGATAAAAGCAATGTGAACTGTAAACTGGGAGCTCTCACACTTGTTATGCTATTTCAAGATAACCTTTGCAAACATAATCTTGCCATATAGTGCTCCTGGTACTCTATGTATGTACTTATATGCCATCAGAGACCTCTTGCCTATCAGCATTGCTTTCCTGCAGGGTCTCTGCTTACTGTCCTGCAGTCTAGCATTTAACTGCTTGTAATATTATAAATAGCCATGTGCTACCACACAGAACGAGGCTAGCACATGGCTAATTACAAGTATACAGTAATTAACTATGAGCTAAACTCGCAGGAGAGTATGTGGTGGTGGTCTATGAGGTATGTAATCAGACTGTTTGTTAAACCTTGGGAGCCTTTCCAGTCTGTTAAGTAACTATACATAGTAATGAGACAATTTTTTAAAAACCATTTATGTTTATTTATGGGCACAAAAAAATTGGTCTGTCTTATTTCTGAGCTGCACTAAAGTGCTGCTGCCTGATATCTGAATGGTTAATTAAAATGATGTAACACAAGGTACACATGCAGCTCCTGCTTAGCTGTATGTATGAGATTAATTGTCGAAGCCTTATCTGTGTGAAGTTTAGAGTGTTATTCATTGTGAATGTTACACCTTGTTTCATGGATGTGCAGTAAACCCAGTAATACCATTTCTCCTTTTGTAGATTTGAATGTCATGTTACTCAGTTTGGGGAGCATCTGTTCCTGAATCTTGTTGAGCTTTGCCTGACTTTTCTCCCTTTTCACATTGTAGTGACTGCCAGTTAGTTTCAGTTGTATTTTTCTTCAGGATGTTCTTTCAGTGTGACTCCAAAACCCATCCACGCTGGCACAGTGGAAGAACCATGGGGGTCAGGCCCTTTTGCTTGGCTACCTCCTGTTAATTGCTCTTCTTCATTACCCTGACAGCTGTTTCTGTCTGTTCCAGATTACCATGAATGAGGCCTCTCTTTAGAAAATGTCAAGATGTCTACAGGGAAGTTAGATCAGACTCTTTCAAATACATTTAAATTTGATTCTTCTCTATACCCATCAAACCTCTGTTAAATAACTTGGTATTAAAATACATTTTCTTATACACAAGTTCTCTTCTGATCTGTGTCAGTGAGCACATCTAATTCTGTTTGGGTAATGTAATGTTGTTGAATACCATGAAAACACATGGGATGTGTTCCTTTAAACTAATGTCTTCAGCTATTAACACACAGACTACATGTGTCAGACAAAGACTCAAGCACTTGTGTCTTAATTCCCAGTTCAGTACAAAAACGTGGTAAGAATACAGTTTACCAAAACTTCCTTCCTGGTTGTATGATAGTTTCTGATTGTCTTCTGAATGTGACCACTACTTGTTCCAGTCCATGGATAGTTCCGACCTTCCAGAGCTACTGTTTTAGGATAAGTTCATTTTATCTTAATGTGTTATTAACACAGAAGCATTCACACAGGGGAGTGTCAAGCAGAAGGTGGTGGGGACCCTACAGGTGTTTGGGGTTTATGTGCTACCAGATTCAACCCAGTTGCTGCATATAATTGAAGGAAGATGGCAGCTGAAGGAGTCTGTTCATTGTAAAAATATTTTTATGCCCTGACCACCAAAAAATATAAGCTTTGATGGTTTAGTGAGATCCAAGTTTACTTGATTTTTATTGTGTGAATAAAAGTGGTCTATTTTTGTGTGTGCTGATAGTTGAAGTGTTTCACACCTGGGCTGTTGTTGGTATTAGATCATTACAAGAAGTTTGAAAGGGACATTTATTTCCTAGGAACTGTATTCTTTTTTAGTTTTTTTCAGTGATGATTCTTAAAGATGATTTAGTCTCATTAAATTTTAATCCCAGTGTAGCTCCGTGTAGCTTCAGTAGTATCAGAGAGAACTGATAGTTCTCTCAGGGTCAGAAGAAAATAGGATTGCATTGTCTGTGCAGAGAGGTTCTGTCTCCTGGGCTGTAATTGGCACATGTGGTCAATTATTGTTTTGAAATCTGTACTTGCAGTTGGAGGCACAATCCCTCGTCTCCCCTTTAGGCAGGTGGTGGCTGTGCTATTCCTAGCTTAGGCCAGTGTCTAAATAATGTCAGAACAGAAATCACGGTTCTAGGGCCAAATTAATTTGTAATAGAGGGGAGCAGACAATCCTCTCCAGAGGCGTAATGTAGGTCACAACTTTTAAGTGGTGTCTTTGTCACGACAGTGAATTGACAGCAACCAAATACAGAGGTTACCCAATTGACTGGAATGACTTCAACATAGTGTGTTATAATGGAATACCTCATTGTGGTGCAAACGTGCAATGGGGACATCCTGCTTACTCCTTAATTAGCATTGAGGGGGAGAGTTCTGAAAATGTGGGTTAAAATTGCCTCAGTACTTGTTGATTAAAACTTCCGTGTGTGTGTGGTTCGTTTCGGTTTTCTTTGAACTTTGCAAACGTCTGACCTTTAAAAGCAGGAATTCAGACAAAATGTTGGGTATCTTTGTCGTGTATTTTCTTGGTCACCTTACTTAGCATTAACTTGGTTTTTAGTTGCAATTATATTTTGTTGCATACGACTTGATCCCCATCTCTTTCTCATTTTGCAGCTTCGCCTCAAACTCATGTTCCTGTAGAAGATGATGCAGTGCATGTAATTAAAGTGGTAATGTGTAGATCTCATTTCTAAATTATTAACTTGTGCACAGTTCTTTCTCTTTATTATCTGTCCTTAGTGTCAGCATTGAGTCTGTATTGCATGCTTGTGCCTTTTGTTTTTTCTCCTATTTTTTGTATCTTGATATACTTTCCCTGCTTGGGGATATTTTTGGCATTTCTGTGACACACAGTGTTTCCTTGACTTGATTCTTTCCTTTCCTTGATTATTGCCCTCAACAGTTTAGTAAGGAAAATCAGGATATGAACTTAAACACACCTCATCTACAGTATTTCTGAAAATAGTGCTTTAAATAATTCCTGAATCTGAGTTATTTATGAAAATGTGTGGCCAAACAACTTATTAAAATGATGGCAGATATGTTGGTGGTGGGGGGAAAAGGGGAGTTTCATCCTCTTGATTTTCTCATACACTTTTCTTGAGAAACCCTTGTCTTTTTGATGCATTTTATGATACTGAGTTTGTTTATTTCTCAATAGGAATATCTTGAAAATGGCCCCTTATTTTCCGAACTGAAATTTTACCAGAGGGCTGCAAAACAAGAACAGAGTAAGTAATGCATCAGTTCTGATTCGGGTAGATTTAAGAGCAAGTTTGGGTTTAACTACTTCTAGTAAGAACTGTTGTTGATAGTGACCTCATTTCATATCTGCTGACCTAATCCTAGTTGGTGCTGTAATAATTTTAGGTTGCTATAGATTTCATTACTTGGATGTCACCCTCCTCCTTTCTGGTCAGAGGGGAGAGCAGAAGTGTGCCAAATGTATTCTGTGCTCACTGCAGAGTGCACAGTGAATGGACTCCAGAGAGGGGCCAGCCTTAGAACAGAGGTACTACATGGACTAATTGCTGAGTGTGTTTCTACTAGTAACTATTTCCATGTGCAGAGCTAAGAGTGTGTGTAATCATCACAGGGTTTAGTAGTAATCAAGGCACTTGATTCTGCAGACACTTAAGCATGGATGTGATTGATTCACAGGAAATGTCCTAAAGACTTTAGATGACTTAGATTGCTGGTAGACATAAGCACTTCTGATAGCTTGAATCATTCTGTATTGAATAAAGTAGAGTTTCTGAAGGAATTGTTTCTTGAGCTACTGATAATTGTTTGTCTGCCTTCTAAGGGAACAAAGTACCTCCCTGATAGAACAAAAACTGTTGCTTGTTTTGCAGAATGCAGAGAACTTCAGAGTAGAGTTATGGGCTGACTTGTTTGCTACACAAACTGCCAAATCATTACTTGTTTCCTTGTTTCATTCAAAGTCTTGGCTTGATAACTAAAACTAAACCAGCAAAAAACCCACACTCCAAACCTGGAATTCTCTAGCTTTCTTTAACCAATGTTATCTCTTTATTATTATTACAGTAAGAAAATGGATGGATCTCAAAAAAATAAGATGTTTAGGAATTCCAGTGTTTTGGGGATCAGGCTTGGCTGAGTACAAGGGAAAAAGGTAATGAAAGATGAATTGTAATTAAGCCTCAAATTGACTGAAGATCCATTTTCAAGAAAATGGAGATAAGTCCTTTCAATTTGACACAAACTTGGAGTCTTGTCTTAAAGGATTCCTCCCTCATATATTTCCTGGTAGCTATAGATTCATGGTCATGGAGAGACTGGGGGAAGACCTTCAGAGAATCTTTGTAGATTGTGGAAGCAGATTTAAGAAGGAGACTGTTCTGCAACTTGGGGCACGAATGGTATGTACACAGAGAGGGGAAATTGCTATGACTCGAACTTGCTGAGTTCTACTAGAAAATTACCCTCCTGATATTGTTCTTTTAGGTAGCTCTTGAGTTTAGAATGAAACGTGTAAGTGCTAGGTATGTTCTTATTTTTAATCTTTTTTTAATAAAAGGAGTATTAAGTAGAACACCAAGACCTCCTGCAGACTGGAAGTTGGTGGGCTCCAACCAAATTTCTTTCTAATGGTTTAAAACATAGACCACGCTTCAAAGTGAGTGTCTGCAGTGAGATGTGTAAGCCTATTTTTATGCTTTCACATGGATTATTTTTTCCCGGTGTCTGAAGGTAGCGTATTAAACATCCATTTTTGTCAAAGTTCACAATCTCATGCCTGAATGCAAAATCCTCTGTGCGTTTGCTGAACACACTGATTGTACAGGCAGGATTAGGCTGTGGTCTACAGATACTAGTTTTGTTTCCATATGTGTGTAGAGTGGCACATACCAATGGAAGATTGTATATGTGCTCCTTTGCAATATCAGTTGTGTCGTGAAAGACTGCTGTTACTGAGGAGAGGTGCACAGCAGATGGAGTAGAGCAATGGTCTTAAGTTGCAGAAAGAGAAACTGAGTAAAACGGAAAAGTTTTTACAGAAAGTGTCTTGGCACTGGAACATCCTTCCCAGAGGCTGTGAAATTTCCCTCCCTGGGGACTTTTAAAACCTGACTATTCATTGTCTTTTACAGCCTGATCTAATTTATGTTAGTCCTGCTTGAAGCAGGGGATTTAGGTTGGACACCTCCAAAGTTTCCTTTTAACCTAAATAATAATAATTAATTAAAAAAAGTGAAGGGCTTTTGTAGTCACGTACTTAACAAACTTTTAACACTGTTTGTACTCTCCAAACGCCAGGATTAGATTGTCCTTTGTGTGAGTTTCCAAGTGCAAACATGTTTTTTAATAACAATTAGAGCTATTTTGTACCTCAATAAGGAGCTGAAGGAGGAGGAGGATGATGCAGGGGGATGGTGACATGAAATGCAAGTCATAGAATAACTGGCAGGATCAAATATAAACCTTCAGGACTGATTGAATATGTACTTTTTGAGAGCCCCATGTTCTCAACATTTCCTCCAATGTTTGTAAAGTACTAGTTTCATTCTTGCTTTACGACTTTAGAAGCTGGTACTCGTAGTAATTACACAGGGATACCTCATGGCAAAGTATGGCTTGTTTTTGATTTGCCTATGTGTCTGGTGGGAACAGACCCTGTGGACAGAGTGGGTAGTCGTTGTGCTCTAACTCAGAACCAATTTGTCAGCTCAGTCTGTGTAGCCCTTGATTTCACTGTGTAAGTGAGAAATATTTGGTGGTGGGGTTAGGGACAGAGTGGAGAAGATGATGATGATGATTTCTTTTTTGTTCTAAATCCTTTCCTAGTTGGATACTTTGGAATATATACATGAAAATGAGTATGTTCATGGTGATATTAAAGCAGCAAATCTACTTTTGGGCTACACGAATCCACACGAGGTAAATATGTTTACTTATCTACACTGTTCCTTTAATGTGTTTATAATAGTTTGATAGTTTTAAGTTATGTATATTCAGCATTAACAATTCAGATACTAAAAGAAATTTATGCATGAACGCTCACAGCCTCTCACAACAAATCTGAGAGGGGCTCTGTGGAGCTTCAGGTCTGAGAAAGGAGCAGGACAAAACTCTGCTTTGTTCCTTTTGTGCTCTGCTGACTGGGGTGCTGGTATGGATGGGTCAACTAAACAAGAGGGTAAGTCAAAGGATCTAATTGCTGTTCTAGGTTATGCCAGTTTGAGTCTGTCAGTAGAGTTTAAGGATGTAGCCCTTTCCATTGTTATTTTTGAGAAGGTCTACCTGTCTTAATATTGTATGTTTCCATGCTTGCTAACTCTTATGTCCTGCTCATCGTAATGGATATAACAGGTGAGTAGGATTAAGATTGGTGCTCTCTAGCACTCTAAAGTCTAAAGCCAGCCTTGAAGCTGAAGTGTTTTGGCGAAACATTTTGAAACAAATCTTTTGATCTTCTTACACTCCACATACTCTTACCATGTCTTTTATTTGTCTTGTATTAATAAAATCTAAGTATGCTTTTTTCTTGGAAAAAAATGTCATTTAGGAAGCAAGGACATCTCTAACTTCACTTAAATATAATGAGCTGTAAGCAATACTTCTGTTCTTTCAAGTTTTGTGTTTTCTGCTGCAGTGATGAAGAAACAGATCTTTTAAAGCAGCTCCCTGCCATTGGGGGTTGGACGATTGAACTATAGCTGCTTTTTTATAAGTTTCAAGTTAAATGTTGTAGCCAAAATTAACTTTTCAGCTTTCTAAACCCCATAGTTTGAAAACCATGATGGCTGTTTAAAACAAGTGTGGTTTTAGAAAGTAGTAGCAGCCAGTACATAATCTCAGTTTATGGTGTTTACCAGCCTGCTGAATCCAAAGAAGACGGCTGTTTAGAGGCAAAATGATCTGCTACCCAAACCCATTAACATACTCAAATGACTTTTTTTTGTCTTAGCTATTGTATATTTTTATGACAGCAAGATATGCTGCTGTTTTTCATGTTGAAGTCATTTTGGAAGTGTCCATTTACAGTAATCATAAAATTTTAAGACATGTAGCTGACTTTGATCAGCTGCTTTTGTATTAGCCACATTGTGGGGTGATATTCTGCTTTGTTTCTCATCTTTTCTGCAGGAAGATCCTGCTATACTAGTATTTTGTTTTCATAAATTCATTGACAGATTAAAAATAAGGTACTCGTGAGTTACTAGACAGAGGGTTTAGGTGGAAATATAACTCGTTATATTAAATAAATCTATACGTATTCCAGTTAAGTACTGACTAGCTTAACATGTACAAAGCGTGTTACTGCTGAGAGGTTTTGTGTAGAATTTTGTTTCAGTAAAATTTCCATTGAAATTATCCTAAAAAACATTTTAAGAAGTTCACATCCTAGTTCAGAAGAGCTCACAGGAGAGAATTCCTAATATTTGCTTGCATTTGTAAGGTATGAATTCAAGTTTCATTTCTGTGAGCTTAAGAAAACTCAGAGCTGTTCAGTAGTTACTCAGATAAAGCTCCCAGTCATGGGCCCCAGAAATTCTGCAAGTGGCCACAAGTCTGCTGATTTCACTGGAGCCATGATAACTGTAGCTTGCCAGTCTACAGTTATGTGCATAGTGATGATCCTAAATGTATTTTAAGGTAATGTACACTGTATTTAGCTTACACAGCAGGGCTGGGGGCTTAATGGGACTGTTTCTAGTCAAATAAAATTTTTTTTTCCAGACACAGCTTTGACAATACCTTGAAACACATTTGCTCTGTGACTTGTGGGGCATGAAAAGAAGGACTGACCTCACCAACAGCAGAGCTAAAACTTTTCAACTGGCAGATCTACATATGCCACTAGTTGAATGTCCTTCCTCTGGAGTTGTTGACTCTCTGCTGCCTGCCCCATGCTTCAGTGAATGTTCTTTACTTGGGTTAGGAGCAGCACTAGACAATATTCTCACACGGATTCAGGTACTCAGAACAGTACATGTCTACTTGCACAGATGATTTTGCACTTGTCATGTTGTGGCTATTTGCATGTGCCATTAATTTGCATGTAATTTTGCCATGGAAGTTGCTTCTTCCTGTTCCAAACGTGTCCAGTTCCTATGTAAGTCTTCATGATGTTGTGACAACCTTTTCTACAAATCAGGCTGTCTTTATAACGTGCTGGTGAGCTGAATGTATTATCTGTTTACCAGAATAGTATCAGTGGAGCATTACCACTGATTAAATATGACAACAATATGGAATACAATGTCCTGTATCCTTCAAACTGTTGTCAGAGATGCTGTATTTTAAGTTGTCGATCTTGTACTACCCTTAGACAGTTCAGATAAAACCTCAGATGCTGTTAGTGCTACCAGATGTCTATAAAGTGTTTTATCCAACCTCCTCTCTCTGCTAAAATGGTGCATAGCTAGATTGCCTTGGTCTTGTTTTATTACAACAATGGAACTGGGAGGTAAAATGATCAACCTCATCTCATAAATAGGGAGGGAGAGCATCTAGCCAGTGGCAAACTCAAACTCAGGATTACAAGCTGAGACCTGTAGCTCCAGTGGGAGTTGGCATAATAAAGCTGTCTGACCTACCAATTTCTGTGGTGAGGTCTTTTAAAGAATTCTATGCTAGTGGGTCCTTTTAGGGTTTAGGGTTTTAAGAAAAAATAGATTGGAAGTGTTCTTTAATTCCAGAAATTTGTTTTTAAAAGAAACCCATAATTAATCTCTTTAAGATACATATATTCAAAATGTATTTCCATATTTTTATGTTTATATATTCCATATGTTTTGGTGAAGAGAGAAAAATCTGTTCAAAACACATGTGTACCTTTACACTCAACTTTGCTTTTTTTTTTTGTCATTTAGTGGCTGTTCGTGTGAACTGTGATGTGTGAATTTGACTTCCTGCAGTTCCCAAGAAGATCATTTTTCTATGTTAGACTTTCTGCTGCTACTTTCTCTCTTTTCTTTGAATTAACCTGGTAAATTTACACCACAGCCAATAACCATCCTAGTTCTGTTTTTGAAAGAATGTGTGAAATCCATACTGCTTTCCCCTACCTTCTGTGGCATAGCAAAGAAACAAATAAAGGTCCTGTCACTAGCTGACCTCCAAATGATGTTTAGAAATGGTTTCAAGATCAGAATCAACTGACCTCAAAGAGCAGCTTGCTGCAGATGTATTCAGCAGAAGGGAGTGAGGCCATTCAGTGAGTTACAGGTCAAAAGATCAATTCTCTAGTCAATATGTTTCTGAACATGGACCCAGCACAATGACTGACAGAGCAGGAGTGATGTACTGAGGGAAGCGCACAGCCCGTGAATCTCAGAGAGGCCTGAAAGAAAACTTGAAGCCATCAGACCTCTACATTACAGAAGCAGCAAAGCACTGTCTCAGTATTACAGTAAGTTAAAGGTAATTTGGTGTGTAGCAGTAACTGTTTGTATGATCAAGCAGAATAAGCAACATTGATACAAAGCTCTAAAAGAGAAATTCAAATCCATTAAACTCATTTAAATTGTGGTGCTATTACAAGGGACAAACTGTCACCAGAGAAGCTCTTAGAATCAGAATTTTTAATACATTAAATTAGGCTTGGAAGAATGTCCCTTCAAACCAATTACCTTGTATTTTCTTTTTCTTCCCGTATGGAATATATGGGCAGACATGCTGCAGACTCCAGTCTGCACCAGACATTGCCTGTTTGGATTTTTAAGCTGTAAATTTAAATTGCATTTGCACCTCAGTTCTAGTTTTGATTTTAAACATTCCTTAGACAAGATAGTTACAGAATAAAACTCCCAGACTTGATTATCATAGATAGCCCTAACTGAAAAACAAAAAAGAATACAAAAATGTTAACTTCTAAGAGCAGCTTTCAGTGGACTGGCAGAAGATACAGAGCTCACACATTGATCATAGGGGAAAAGCATGCAGGAAAGCAATTCCAACTTTAAGCTGTTTTTCATTGTGAGATGAATCATTGTGATTCCTGCTCTTTAGTCCAGTATGACAGATATGACAGATTTGCTAAAGGGAAGATGAATTGAGAAAAATTAAAATCTTCTGTTCTCCTTCGCATGTTTTTAGGAAGGATACAGCGTGCAGAGACACCATACAGAAACAGTTGAGGTTTAACTCATGGCTACACCCCTGATCCGAGATGTAGTTTCAGAATCAGATGGCCTTAATTTTCTTTCACCAATCCCACTGCTACATTTGGATAGAACTGTTTACACTCGTTTGATTTCTTTTGATAGTAATGCCCCAAATAACTTGGAGTTCAATTGATTCCAGCATCAGGACTTGCCACTGGCACGTCACGGAAGATTTCTTCCCCACTTCCCTTTGTTTAACCTGCTTTCCTCCTTGACTTCTGCTTTGTGGAAGATGCTGTTTCTGTTCCAAACACTATACTTCAGACTTGCTGTCCCGACATAGACTTCAGTCTGCTTTTACCTTTTCTGTATTGTAGTGTCCAACTGAAGCTGACAGCAGTATGGCCATTAGCAACCAATCTGCCTCTTGTTAGTAGGTATCTACTTAATTATTTACAGCACATTACATAAGCTGAGTAATGGAACCACTGGAAAGCAAATGTACGAAGAAAATCACTGTATTGTTATCCTTTCAGCAATAAATCTCCTGCTATGTGTACTTTGAGAATGCCATGAGAATCCAAAGTGCCAGGCTTATAGCTTCCCAAATCAGTGCAGTTGGCTTTTTTAAAATACATATATATATATTAAAAAACATATGAAATTTGTAAGAGTTTTATAAGTTTAGCAGATATTTAGCACTTCAGATATAAAGCAACATGAGGGAGTCCTGCACAGGAAGGACAAAAAGATGCTGAATCTATGGCTGGGTTCTTGTGCATATCAGTAATTACTTGTGCCTGTGTGACTGTTTGCATGGAATTAAGTGTGAAGACTTTAGAAATCTGCCTCCTGATCTGTAATAAAATCTATTAATAACAGACCGTGCTATGCACAGCTGAGTCGAGTGCAGACTGGGATGTGTAAAACAGAGGAACTTGAACAAAAACAGGAGTTAAAATAAGTCAGTGTGTGGGAAGGAGTGTACAGTGTACCACAGCTAAACCCAGCTGTTCCAGGCTTATGTCACTATTGCACCTTCATCATCCATGTTACCACTTCTTGTTTCAAGTGTCTTGTTTATCTGACTCTGCATATGTTTTGTCCCTGTTTTTTTTGTTCTTGTTTTGTTATTCCTAAGAAAAGGCATGCAGCTGAAAAATACTTGTTATTGAAACACATACTAACACTGACTTAATTTATCTCTATAATCTTTATTATTAATCTTCTTTTCCCCCTCTGCATACCTTTAAAAAACCTGCAACAACCTACAACTTCATTAACTACTCCTACCCGCTGTGGTCTGAGCAAATTTGGAAGGGCATGCTATGTTACATTATCAAAAAGTGACAACTAGCTATAAAGAACTATATATCTCTTTAATGATGAAAGGGTTATAATGAGAATTGATGAAATGAAATTAATGGTAATTTAAAAGAATGTAGTTGTTCTGATAATGGTTGTGGCAAGGTTGTAACGGTGCATTGCTGGTTTTGTAGAGGCTGAAGGGGATTGATTTTCATTGGTGGCCAGGAGGCTTTGCCTTGAGAGCTTTGTGGCACAGATCTGATGTGAAAGTTGTGGAAGTGATAAGTGGCTCAGCTAGAAGGAAGCTGAGCAATGACACTCATGACCAGCTTCTGGAGCAAACTGTGGTGCTATCATAGATGATGTTGCAATCACACAGGAGTGGCTTTAAGGGGAGATTACTTCTTGGTTACCAGGTCTTGCCACCAGCAGTCAAGGCAGGAGAACCTAAAGCTACTTCACCCTTTTGGAAGGGTTTTTCAGTATAAACTTGAAACTGCTCTGTTGATGCTACCAGTGAAAGTATTTTAAGCAAATCTTGCTTAAAATGGATTGTGAGTACACAGTAACTGTAATTTATCTGTAGCATAACTGGTAGCTCTTTTACATAGTTCAGGTTCGACTCACAAATGTTTGTGGCTACTCTCTGGATGCCCTGTTATTAAGATCGTTTGGAAGACCCCAAGGTTGGGCTGCCATATGGGAGTGTCTATCACATAAGCTAGCATTCCCAGCCAGACACAACCAGAGAGCTGGCTGAGATGCATTAGTTGTATTGGTTTTTGTTAACAGTTAAAAGCTCATTTTATACATGGCATTGCCTGAATTTGTAAAGGTTGAAATCCTTCCTGTATTTCATCTGATTGCATTTGGTCATCTGTACGTGTTGGAAATCTAGAGCCAAGCAAAACCCAAAATGTACCACTTAGCCTGGGAAAAACACACCTTCTAGCCTACTCTTTCCTTCCCAGCCCACAAAGGATGCTGTAGTCTTGCAAAACTCGATATTAGAGTAGTTTAAATTAGTTCTCTCACAGTGACTGTGGGCTCAATTACAACAGGTACCGGAGCATTGGGAATACACAGGAGAACGGATGCAGGAGAAAATCAAGTCAGTCAACCCAACAAAGTTTATGCCTTGTCCCAGATTTTTCTAAACATGCCTACGGTCTTTAATCTTGTATCACAGTTTGTATAGTCTGTCAGGTGAAAAACATCATCCGCAATCTTAAAAGCCATCACCCTGCAGGAAGCAAGTGCTGCATCCCAGCTTACACGCTCCAAATAAACCCAGATCCTGCAGCAGAAACAGTAAAACCAAGAGACCAGCCATCCCAGGATTTGGAGCTGCCTGGAGCACAAACAGGAATCAGTAGTTCAACAGAATGTGCTCCAAAATAATGTGTTAAGTTTTCTTGGGGGTTTTTTGTTCACTTGTTTGTTTTCTACCAGGAGTAACATAATTCAATTACAAGTGAGTGCCATAAGAGTTTATTTGAGACTTGTAGGATAAACTGTTCTTTAGCTAAAGAGAGAACAAAACTAAGGTTCAAATAGGAAAAAGTTTTTCTTTCTAATATAATATGATTTAGTAGAAATGATCTCTATGTGCCTTCAGATGATGCAGCTTTTGCCCCAGAGATCACTTCCACTGGCAATATAATAGCAGTCTGCAGCATTTACTTTTTTCCCAAGTGAAAGTACCATACTTGGATATTTCTAAAAAAAGAATTACCTAATGTGAGAACTGGTCAATGTAAGGGGCAAAGGCCGGGGGAGTGTGAGAATGACACAGGGAGAAAATATCCTGTGGGATATTGGGGGGTGGACACACTGTGATTAAATTCCAGCTGCTTTCAACAAGTTACTGCTTGTCAGCGTCGCTGCAGTAATTGCCCATGTGCATGTATTAAGTCCACCCCTGCTGGACTTAATGTGAATCTCAACTTCATAGAGTGGAATGATCCAAATAATGTGGGTGGCAGAACTGACATGGATGCAGAACTGTCTGCACTCAGCCTGCAGAGAAATAGAGGCGTAGGGGCCAGATAAGAGTGTTCAGGTCTGTCTTGAAAGGCAGCAGCAGAACTGTCCTGGTTTTGGCTGGGATAAAGTGAACTTTCTTCGCTGTAGCTGGCACTGTGCTGTGTTTTGGATTTAGGATGAGAGTAATGATAACACACTGATGTTTTAGCTGTTGCTGAGCATGAGCAGTGCTTACCCTGAGTCAAGGACTTTCCAGTTTCCCATGATCTGCCAGTGAGGAGAGGCACAGGAAGCCAGGAGGAAGCAGAGCCTGACCCAAACTAGCCAAAGGGGTATTCCAGAGCTTGGAATGTCAGGCTCAGTATAGAAACTGCAGGGAGTTGGCTGGGAGCCACTGATCACTGCTTGGGTCGGGCTGGTCATCAGTCAGTGGGTGGTGGGTAATTGTATTGTACATCACTTGATTGTCTTGGGGTTTCTTCCTCCTTTTTTCCCCATTATTATTAATTATTATTGTTATTACTGTTTATAATGTTTTACTTTATTTCCATTATTAAACTGTTCTCTTAACCCACGGGTTTTACTTTTCTTCAGTTCTCCATCCCATCCCACTGCAGGGCAGGGAGGGGAGTGAGCAAGCATCTGTATGGACTTACTTGCTGGCTGGGGTTAAACCATGTGAAGAACAGACAGTAAAATGCAGCTCTCCTGAGCTGTTCTGTTTTCAGCTCTAAACACCATAAAAGTGAGCAAGATGAAGTTTAAAGTCACTTAACACTTCACAATTCCCAAGAACATGCAAGTGCATCTCCAAGATACGTTGTTCAGAACTGAGGGGTTTCCTTCCCCTGATTATTTGGGTGGGGGGGATGTAGTTTCTTTTGCTTTTTGTTTTATCTTATGCTTTATATTTAAATAGTTGTTGCCAGTATGAAGTTACTGACAGTGACATGCAAAAAGAGGAGGCTGCAGTCAGGCTAATACCCAGTAGCCCTGTGGTCACAGCCGTGTCGGTGGTGGAGCCCTGTGTGCAGCCCTGCTGGGGGAAGCTGCTGCCTCTCCCTTTCTCTGGCCTTTAAGTGTCACTGCTGCTCTGAAATTGCAGAGTCTCAGCTGATGAGAAATGTGAACAGGGGTGTGTATCTGCCTGTTTAAGTAAGGAGGGGAAGGGGTCCCATAAGCAATGTGAGGGTACATAAAAGGCATATTGCACTTTATGATGTCTAGATCCCACCTGGAGAGGAGAGAGCTTATGAACAAAATAAAAAGACTGAAATTCAGCTCGACTCTGAAATAAGATAAGAGTATAGTAGTGGAAGGATTTAAATGGGGAGGGCAGCTGTTATAGCCCCCAGTTGTACATATTTTATTCTGAGGCACCATTTGGTTTAATAAAATTTAGATCTAAGGCTGTCCTTAACCTATCCGTTTCTTAAGACTTAATTATAAAGGTTATACTTTCAAAGGACAAAAGCGTTATTCATTTGTCTGTTCATGTCTTCCAGGTTTATCTTGCAGATTATGGACTTTCCTACAGATATTGTCCCAATGGGAACCACAAACAGTATCAGGAAAATCCTAGGAAGGGCCATAATGGGACAATAGAGTTTACCAGCGTAGATGCCCACAAGGGAGCAGGTAGGTTTCTCTTTCTTTATTTCAGAGGAGTGATTACAGAATGAGTAATCAGGCTGTGTGAGCTGATGTATACAGTACAAGTAGTCCTGGGGATTGCTCAGGGTTGATCAGACCCTTGTGTGGTGACCTCTTCCTGTACCTGGGAATGCTTCTCCAGGGCTGCTGGGGGAAGGGAAGCAGCACGAGTACAATTGAAAGGCTGCAGCATGTATGGCACTGGGAGGTGGACAAAGATGCCCTAAGAAGAGCTTGCCAGTAAACCTAATTGGTTCATGTTGGGAGTACTGGTTTGGGTTTGCTGCGTGCTGTAAAGGTAGAGCCATTCGCTAATGTTGCATTGTCAAGGAAAAATGTTCCAAGGCTGCACTGTCCTTTAGGGAGAGCTGTGTCTGAGTGTCATCATCTGTGTTATGAGAGGATATTTCAAGATGACATTCCTTCTGCAAGGAGAAAAACCTGTTTTGAAGCCATAAAGTGTTAACTTTTTGAAATCTTTTTCCAGTAGCCTTTCATATATCTTACTTATTTAAACTCACTTTGATGGTATTGGAAACACATTTGCAGGTAAATTACATACATAGTCCTTTTATTGGATATTGATTGGCCTGCCTTGCATTCCAAGGCAGACTTAATTCAACAATTCCCTAATTAGTTAAAGTCATAACCTATGTCTTGTATTCATTTACCATTAATTAAACCTTAGCTGTTTATTACACTGCAGTCCAAATCCAATAGCAGACCCATAGAGCCATGGAAAAGGGAATGGGAGGTCAATATCGAAAATATATATGGTGCAAAGTCCCCCTGATGGCTGCATTGTTCACAATCAATATGGTCAATGCAACACAACTTTCTTAGTTGCTATGTCAGCAAGACAAAAAGTCAATTCTAATGTTATGCTAGTGAAAAAAATGGTGATTATTGAAAAACTTTGACTCTTGCTATGAAACGGTGTTTTTGTTAACTTTTCTTCTCCCTGTTCCCCCCTCCTTACCCCGAAGATCTCCTGAAACAAAAGGAATGGGTTTGTGCTGCCAGCCTGGCCAGGATCATAATGTCACAAGTAATAACTGTAGAAATTTGTGCTTGTTAATAGCTGCTGAACTGTTACCTTAAACTAATACTTTCTAACGAGTTTTAGTTGGCACAAACAACTGTGTATTATTGCTTTTTCTATTAAAAGGACCATTGACCATGTAATGTAGAGGGTCTTGATAATTTGCCGGCGCTGTTAAAACCTGCAATCGTTTAACTCTGGTCATTAGGAAAAATGAAATAAGACTGTCAAGTATTTGTTGCAAAGACAATTGCACCATTTCACCTGCTACAGAATATTTTGTGGTGGAGAGGGACTGTTTACAAGGGTATGTAGGGACGGGACAAGGGGGAATGGCTTTAACCTGCCGGAGGGGAGACTGAGATGAGCTCTGAGGCAGAAGCTCTTCCCTGTGAGGGTGCTGAGGCGCTGGCACAGGGTGCCCAGAGGAGCTGTGGCTGCCCCATCCCTGGCAGTGTTCAAGGCCAGGTTGGACACAGGGGCTTGGAGCAACCTGCTCTGGTGGAAGGTGTCGCTGCCTGTAGCAGGGGTTGGAGCTGGAGGAGCTTTAGGGTCCCTTCGAGCCCAAACCATTCCCTGAGGAGGACATCTGTTTTGGACTCTTCTAGTCCTCCCAAGCATACAGTGCATTTTCAGGAGATCTGACTCTGGCAGGTTTTCATGGTAGGGTGAGCAGTATGGATGTGTTAGCAGTATTTGATGTGGATGCTGTTTGACGAATAGGTGGAAGCTGGAGCGTTTGGGATTTGGCATTTGGATACTTACAGCTGCTAGAGGACAAGTGTCTGTTGATGGGTATGTGATTGCAGGGCAGGTAATTCCTTTTATTTCAAAGAGTAGAGAAATTTTACAGACTTGGGTGCCAAAAGGTTTGCACACGCAAGTGTGAGTTAAGTTGTCGTCTTTTGCAATCTGTGGGTAAGATTGCAACCTTGAGTAGCTAAAGCCAAGGGATTAGCTAAGGAATCAGTGAAAAGTGGAGGATTCCAGGAAACAAAACATTCAGAAAGATGGCTTGAAGGAGCTTGCCCCTATCTTGCACATGAAATTTTTGTGCTTGTTCATAGCTGCAAACAAATCAGCAGATTTTTCTGGTGCTCCTGCTGGAAGAGCCTGCAGAACATGATGTGGTGTCTGGCATGTTGCAGAGAATCCAAACTATTCACATGGTATGCCTCAGCTCTGCCCTTGTAACAGCCTGAATCCATTAAGGTCAAATTACCAGTTTCCCATTTGCAGCAGGTCTCTCAGCATCCCCGGGAAGATTGCACAGGTCCAGATGGCAGAACTCAGCGACTGGTTTCCCTCTTCTCATCTCTCGTCATGAGGTTTAGAGTTTCAGAGATGTTTCAGGATTCTAAGCCACATCCAACAGCTGGGATAGGGGGTTCCTGGCTCAACACCCTTCTGTACTCCCAGCTCGTGATTGAGTCTCAGCATAGTCTCGGGTACCAAATGAGATGGGTGCTCTTCTCAAAGGTATTTAAAGCCTGGCAAATTGAAGTGCATAGACAGCCTTCATCCTGGTGTTACCCAATTTTTCAGAGTGGCGTATTCTTTTATTTCAATGTAGTTCTAATTTTTAAATGTAATTTCATATAAATGAGATCCTTTCTAGAGGGCATTTCCTGAATGTACGTAGCAACATAAATATCTCAAACCTCAAAAACCCTGAAGAGTGCCAGTTGCTGTATTGAGCTAAACAAATGAGAACATTTTGACTTGCTCATGAAGCACCTACCTGAATGCAGCAATTTGAGGTACATGCTGAAACCCAAAAGAAAATTATGAATTTGTTGCTTTCAGAAGTGCCTCTTGGCAATGCTTGAAGCTGATAACCCCCTTGCATAAAGCCAATCAAATGCAACCACTTCCCACTAATTTAAATCAGCACTGGTGTTTCCCAAGCTGAATTGAGAGTTAAACTCAGCTGCATGCCTATTTATTCCCCAAGCTCTCCAGGGAGTTCATCAGGTGTAGAGGATATGCAGTCCTGTGAGATCCAGACAGTTTCCTGCCAGCACCCACCGCATGGTAACACTTTTGGGTGGCAGAAGTGGTCCATATTCTTCTAACAGCCTCTGGTAAGGGCTGCGTTGGATGTGCCATTCCTGTGGTGACTGATGGTGAATCGCTGCCTTCAAGCAAGTTACTTCAGTGCATGCTGGTGTACACTGATGGTGTTTGTGGCCTTGACTTTGTCCTGCAGCTGAAGAGGAATTCCCCTGAGCTGGGAAAGGCTGGGAGCAGCTGCCCTGCCTCATGGCTCAGCTCTTCACACTGGGTTTGGCTTTAGGTTTGCAGGACTTGCCTGTGTGTGGGCTCCACAGGCTGGCTCCTCTGTGCCACAGTCTGGGGGCTTCCAGGCTTGTGGAAGTTGCAAGTATTCATTGCAACCTCAGTTACATCCCGATGTCTACAGCTCACTTTGAACCAAGTCAGGCCCAAGCTGGGCTCTGCCACAGGATTTGCCCCACACCACCAGCATTCCTGTATTTGGTGGCTGGATCTCATTGCAACCAACATGTGGGGTTTTCAAGTTTAAAACCTTTTTATTTTGTGGCAAATTCCATATGGCACAACTACGCTGTTAGTTTTAGTGCAGTATTTGAGTGTATTCATCATACTAATTTTAAAAGACCATGTCGTATAAACAATATTACATTTGTGAGTTGATTGATACTTAAAGAGAGTTAAATGTACAGTGGGTACAGATATAAAAAATTGTTACATAGTTAGTGTTAAAAAGTAATATTTGGATCAATGCCTCCTATGGATTTTTGTAGATTTTCTACTCACTGAGGCATGCAGTCAATACCTAATTTCTCTGGAGATATACTGCGCTTAACATATTGAGGTTTTTTAAATACTCCAGTGCTGTGCATCGAGTGTGTAAGACCGGTTTTAATTTGCTATCATTGATGAACATAAGAGTATGAACTGTCTGTGCTGAATTCCCTCCAGCATATATTTGTGTTTGCCATCGATTGCAAGATGACTCTCCTCTTCCTTTTCACAACGTCTCACGGTAACTATTAGCACTTGTGCCACCTCTCACGTTGGGTAGATGGGTCTGCCCAAATCCTTGCAGAACTTATATCTACCTCTGGAATAGTAAAAGCTGCTTAAGACAGTAGTGACTTGATAAACTTAAGGGTAATTAGAATGTCTGATGATGTTTGCCTCTGTTAGGGCCACTGGTTGTCACTTCTTTAGAGCTGGTGAATACGTTTTGAGTGAGCTGATTTCATTGAGCAAAAGTGTATTTTCTTCTCCCGTGCTGGGGAAGGCAGTTGCAGCTATATTTAATGCTATAGTTTAGCCAGGTCTTCATGCTCCTCACACTGGGTTATTGCAGCACACGCTCCTTGAGGTTCATCCAAATGCTTGTACACTGTGTTTCAACAGGGCAACGCAGGGATCAGGCTGATGGTAGGGAAAACTCTGCAGTACTTGTTCTTGTTTTCCCCACTGATCTGACAGAACTGTTGCTATTTGCTATGAAAAACATAGCTTAATGCTTGTCCATTTTTCCTTTTCTTTTACATGCAGGGGTTGACTAGAATATATTCAGAGTTCATTTTGTGAGGAAGGATGTGCAAGAATATAAACACCTATGCCTGGAAATACATTCTTGCTCAGCCTGCATGGCTTCCAGAGAACAGAGCTCTAAATGGCTCTGGATCAAGAGGTTTATTTGGCATCTGTCCATGTATAGTTTGGATTCAGAGAGAGCCTGCTGGATTTTGCTGTCGGTCAAATGAATTATTGATTTGCTGCAGTTTGGTATGTGCTTCCCCAGCCTGTGTGCAGGACAAACTGTAAATCCTAAAAATAAAGGAAAATATAATTGGCCTGGCAAAAAAAATGGGTAAAACTTTGCAGTGTGAAGTAAATACAAAGATAGTTTAGTTTCTGAGTGTGGGATTAGAACTGTGTGCCC